GTCTCAGAGACACATAAAACTAAAATGTGCTCAAAATTAAGGAGAAACCAAACAAGCTGATTTAGTAGGTCATAATACCTAAAATTGACCTAAGGATCCAAAATTGAATGATATTTTAAAAATGAATTTATGAGTTAATAATATGCTAAATCCAACCTTAATGCATGCTATTATGAATGTATAACTATAACAATAATTTATGAATATACGTAGCATGCTTGAATTTACATTTTAATATATTATTAACCCATATATCCTAAATAAATTGCAATACTGCAAGAAATTTAATATAAATCTCAATATTAAATTAAAATTCAAATAGCAAATTCAATACATAATATTTGCTAAATATTGAATAGTAATTTAATTATGAATTTAATGCCAAAAATTAAGAGGAAACTAAAGGGCATTAATATCTGAAAACAAGCAATTACCATATATTTACCATTTGCTAAAAGTAATATTCAATATTAATTAAGGAAATATTAATATGGTAATATCAAACCAAATAATTACCATTTACCAAAATTAATATATATAATATTAACTAAAGCAAACATTAATATGGTAAATAAATATAAAATAATGGTAATTACCTTAATGACTTGCGTGTTCTCCCAGGAAACTCCAAGTCAAACAACCAAAGCCAAAACACCCCAACACCGTCCGTACACGTAATGCTTGATGCCGTTGCTCGTCAATACGGAGACCGTAACCAGCGAAATAAATCCGTCGATTCTCTCGTATGATCAAACAGTAGGCAACTTTAGATTCAATAATTTTGAAAAAAAAAAAAAAAAAGATCGAAATTATGCTTTAAGGTTGAAAAGCAATTTCAACAGTACAAAATCAATTACAAGCAATAACATGTTTAGTTATATCAAAGCCGAATAGATATATCTATACATGTATATCTTCAATATAAAAATTGAATGTAATTGAAAATCAAACCATATACAAAATCTTAATGTATATGAAATTAATGTTGATTTTTCTCAGGCAATACAATCAACCAGACAGAGATTATAAAGGCTCTGAAACCAAATGTTAGATATAGATAATCTAACTATAATAAACCATAGTATACGAGAAACCTGACCTCGTATGATAGCGGAAGCGTAGCCACGTAGATCTCCAGCCATAGTTGATGTTTCTGTTGTGTTGCGTTTCTGTTGTGTTGCCTCTTAACGGTAGACCGTCAGCCATGTTTTGTCTCAGACCTGACTCAGAACCCTAGATGGTGTATTGGTATCTACTGAGCGGTCTGAGTACCGTAATGAATGTACTATCTAATCCATAATCCTGTATCCCATCAATCCAGGTTATATTAGGCACAGAGTTTGGTTGACTAACAACTACTAGTTATTAAGTCCAACCAAACCACTTAATAAGTCTAGTCAACTTGCACCACTTAATTAAGGCCCTAATATATAACATATAATATATATTATTAGAGAAAATCTTACATAAAAACCCAACAAAACGGCAAAGACCAACTGAAATAACTGTATGAAACTATGAACAATTAAATATAAATGGTACTGTATATATGGAAGGTGACGGACCATTTTCCAATGTGACATTTCACATTATAACCAATTTAGACTTGACGCTCAACCCCACCCAAATTCAGACGTTATGCCATGGAACCGTGTTCACCATTCATGGTGAACACGGTTCTAACGATGTTAGTACACCGTTATTTTTTTTTTTTTTTAATTAATTGCGTGCCTTTTCTTCTTTATTTTCACATTTTGCGGTTTCACTTTAATTTGAGGTGAACAAAGATTTCGGACATTCATAAATTATGAATTCATGCCTGCATATTCACTTTGGAACCATGCCTACACATTCCCGTCCGAAATCACGGACATTCATAAATTATGAATCCATGGCTGCACATTCACTTTGGAACCATGCCTACACATTCACTTTGGAACCATGAGATTATGAATTTTCTGTTATTAGATTATGAATTTTCAGTTATGAGATTATGAATTTTCTGTTATGCGATTATGAATTTTCTGTTATGAGATTATGAATTTTCATTACATTCATAATTTCGGACATTCATAAATTATGAATTCATGCCTGCACATTCACTTTGGAACCATGCCTACATATTCCCGTCCGAAATCACGGACATTCATAAATTATGAATCCATGCCTGCACATTCACTTTGGAACCATGCCTACACATTCACTTTGGAACCATGAGATTATGAATTTTCTGTTATAAGATTATGAATTTTCTGTTATGAGATTATGAATTTTCAGTTGTGAGATTATGAATTTTCTGTTATGCGATTATGAATTTTCTGTTATGAGATTATGAATTTTCATAAAATTCATAATCTTATAACAGAAAATTCATAATTTGATCAAACGCGCGCCGTTAACTCCACATCCGCAAAAAAAAAATTTTTGGCCTAAAAACGACGTCGTTTTGCCTTGTGTTCACCATTCTCGGTGAACACGATTCCATGGCATAATTTGCGACCCAAATTAATGTGAATATTTGACTTAAAGTACTCCAAACTAATCTATAAATATGGCTTTAAAACGATAGATACAATTAACAAATTAAACAACAAACTCATATATCCCTTTTCTTAAAATTAACCTCGTAAAACCATGGCTCCGGCAGCCCTGTCAGAATCAGAATCCGTCGTGGATTTCGTCGTGAACGAGGGCCGAGGAGTGAAGGGTTTGTCGGACATGGGCATTAAGGCGCTGCCAAGCCAGTACATCCAGCCGCCCAAAGAACGCATAGCGGCGAACGCCATAGTCGCCGACGACTCAATTCCGACCATCGACATTTCCAACTGGGACGACCCGGCGGTGTCCCGGGCCGTCTGCGAGGCGGCGGAGGAGTGGGGCTTCTTCCAGATCATCAACCATGGCGTGCCGGTGGAGCTGCTGGAGAGCCTCAAGACCGCCACTTACCGGTTCTTCAAGCTGCCGGTGGAGGAGAAGAGGAAGTACTCCAAGGCGAACTCGCCGTCGGAGAATGTCCGGTACGGCACCAGCTTCAGCCCGGAGTCGGAGAAGACTTTGGAGTGGAAAGATTATCTTAGTCTCTTCTACGTTTCCGACGATGAAGCTGCGGCTTTGTGGCCCCCAGCTTGCAGGTCTTTCTCTATCCAAATCTATTCTGTATTTTAAAAGTTAATTTTTTCTTCTTCTTCTTTCTTACCAAACTTTAACCATTGACCAGCTGTTCACTTTCAGGTTTTTTTTTTTTTTTTTTTTTTTTTTTTTTTTTTTTTTTTTAAATCAGAACAATCACTTTTAGAGTTTTAGCCATATTATTATCGGTGACATGACCATTTTTTATTCTTGTCAATAAAATCGTTGAAATATAATTAAATACAGGGATATTTTGATCTATTTTATACCAAGTAGATTGACCCGCTATATTTTTATGTTTATTTTTTCTTTGAAAAGATACATAAATGAAGATCAAAATATCTTTGTATTTAAGGACATTTAAAATGTTTTGTAGATAGTGGATCAAAAATGATTATGTCACAATAATATTAAGATCGAAAGTGAATATTCTGGAAAAGAATGACTAAAAGTAAATTATCAACTATAAATTTAGGATAAAAAATGAAATTAACTCAAATTTTAATATATATACTCCATAAATTCATGCATGAATTGAAGACTCAAGTTGGTTGAAAAGTTAAGTGGGTAACAACAATAATGTTGCATATTCAACTTTGAGTGACAATAATTGTTTTCTTGATTTGAGTGGATTAACTTAGGTTGATTTTCATACTTAGGGTACTTTTTATTGATTTGTTACTTATGAATTGATGGAAGGATCGGAGAATATATAGTGGAGACGGGGAGAAAAACATGCAAGAGAAAGATTGATTAGGTTGAAACTCACTGAGGATGTACTGTCTTTATTTGACTGGCATTACTTTTACTTCTCTTTTGTTGGTTATAATTAATGATTGATGATAGATGGTTGTTGACTTGGATGAGTAGGTCTAAACGCAGCAGTATATTCCTAAGTCAGTTATGGTGATATTTCCTGGTTTTGACTTCAACCATAATCCATGTGCTAAATTGTACAGTTTTTGGTAGACAGAAATCAATGTTTTACTTATTAAGATTTTAGTTCGATGTTTCATGTCCAACTTTTTATAAAAACGGTCTATTAGTCTTATTGATTTACATAGATTAACTATAAGCAAATTAGGCTGACTTTTATCCATTCAAGATAAGAATCTTATCTTGTTTTTTTGGTCAGACTATCCGGAACAAAGTGCTGATCATATGGATTTTTTTCTTACCAGAAAGGATTCAAACTTTTAACCTATCTTAAAAGACGAGAGTGCATGACCACTCACACCAATTAAACTGGTTAAGTCATCTTATCATGGTTTTGGTCCAACTTTATTTTCTTGGTTATTAGGCATGAAGCAATGGAGTACATGACGCAGTGCAACGCCATGATCAAGAACTTGCTGGAGATGCTGATGAGCGGACTGAACATCGAAGAACGGTTGGACAAATCCAAGGAACCACTTTTCATGGGCGCCAAGAGGATAAACTTCAACTACTACCCCAAATGCCCCAACCCGGAGCTGGCCGTCGGCGTGGGCCGCCACTCCGACATCTCCACCATCACCGTGCTCCTCCAGGACCACATCGGCGGCCTCCACGTCCGGAAGCTCAACTCCGACACCTGGGTCCACGTCCCTCCCGTCGACGGCGCTCTGGTCATCAACATCGGCGACGCGCTCCAGATCCTCAGCAACGGCCGGTACAAGAGCGCCGAGCACCGGGTGAGCGCCAACGGCGGCAGCGACAGAATCTCGGTGCCGATCTTCGTCACCCCCGACCCGGAATGCCGCGTGGGGCCGCTGCCGGAGGTGCTGGCCGGCGGGGAGAAGCCGCTTTACAAGGAGCTTGTGTATTCTGATTACTTGCGGCATTTCTTCGGGAAGGCTCACGATGGGAAGGAGACAATTGAATTTGCAAAGATATAAGCAATGCATATAGTATCTTCTTGCTTTTGTTTGCAGAAGATTCTATGGTATCTTACAAGAAAAATCAAGAAAAATTCTATGGCATAAAGTGAAATAATTAAATATATTTTCTTCTCTTTTTTATTTTTTAAACATATGCATGCTCTTTTTCCCATTATGTATAAATTACTCTCACCAATAATATTTACAAAAGGTTGATTACTAAGTGGGACAACTCCAGTTAGTCAAACGATTGACTTAGTAAGTACAAAGTTATAAGTTCAACTTTTAATAGGAGTAAATTAAATTCACAAGAAGACATTTTTATGTCACGATAAAATCTCTCGTATTCTGCACTAGTTACAGATTTCAACATAGATATGAAAGGTTACCGCCTGAATTCCCTAATTCACATTAACTTATATAGAGTAGTAAAATTGTGATTGAACGAGAGCTCGCAATTCAGTAGAAAATTTTGTTGTTTGCTTTGGAGAAAGATATATTGGATATTTGTTTGTAAATATAAAAATTTCTTGACATTTCTGTCTCTCCATAGACCACAGTAGCCACTAGTCATCAACTTGTCTCAACATAACTGAACATTTCTTTGACGAGTAATGAATATTAGTCCAATCAGGATAAAAGTCCTTGGAGCAACAAAGAAACAACAATTTGGCGTATTAATTAATTTTGCCGCTTTCTCTGATCCTACCTTTTTTCTGCGAAAAAACAAAGGCCAAGAGAGCATTGAAAAAGGAACTATAATCAAGTGTTTTGTTTTTTTTAAATACAAATTTCATTAACATTTTTAGTTACGTTGCTTAAGCAAAAGATTGCAGATACAAGTATACAACTATGACATCGTACATGCTTTTTCTATCTAAAATTTTGCGTAAATGAAATTGTTCTAGTTTAATTAAGGGCTTAAATCGCTATCAAAATGTCTTACTAATTAAGAGTACGTACTGTTAAGGCATTAACCACGACACTCAGACTTATACCATTTTGAGTAGGAAAGGTGTCAAATATTATGTCGCCAAATTTATTACTTTTGTGTAATTGAATCATTGAACTAAAGAAGTGCCCAATCGAAACATTAAACTAGCAAAATATGTGCAACATAATTAAGACATTCGAATCATACCCGAAAAAATTGAAAAAAATGTCTCAATTGCACATATTTTTCCTTTCAAGTATTATTTTTGGTTTAAACCACGAGGTGTTTTGAGTAGACCCTAACTATAGAAGACATTTTTAAGCTCGTAACATATTCAAACTAATCCTTATTTACACCTAGCCGGATCATCTCTCTTAAAAGATGAGAATACATGGTCACTCACGCCAACCAAACTGGTTGAGTATTACCCCGTATTAGTTATGATGAGAATTCAATCAATCTGTCATGTTGAATGTGTTTCAAAAACAAAAAGTCTGTTGAGTGTGTTGCAACTATTTGAGGATTGAATGGGTGTGCTCAGGCCACGAAGAGTTCATCCGCTATTAACTTGGGTTCTTCATCACTTCTATTAAAAAAAAAAAAAAAAAAAAAAAAAAAAAAAAAAAAAAACTAGTTATATAATGTGGGCATTGCGCGTTTAAATTAATATCTAACACGAAAAATAAAATAAGTAAATATTTAGTACAAATTTTAAATATTAAATAATTAATATAAAATAAAAATAATTATTTTCAATATAATCAAAATGAGTATTTTCAACTTGTAGTAGTGAAAGTAGTAGTAAAAACGAGTATTGTTTTAGATAGTTATAATGAATAATAAAAATTATGTCATAACAATTTTCATATTAAAATATAATAACTTAATTCTTTCTTAATGCGATTTTGATGAATTAATAAACATAACTTATTTTTAGTTAAAAGTGATACATATGACTATAATAAACTTACTGATGTTGTCAAAAAGTGATTAAAGAGTTGTTAAAATTAAGTTATAACATATTAATTCATAATCTTTTCTTGTGTATATGATTTGGACCTCAATTGTTGTTATATGTGAACTATTCATCTTGTAAACTCTCATTGATATTTTGAAATATTTTTTTTTCCTATAAGATTGATTACATAATGAATTTTTTGAATTTAAATATTTAAAATACAAAGAAATTTTGTCTCATACACGATAGATCAACTTATAATAAAATGTCTATGCTAGATGTCCCACACAATAAAGGTGTCTATAGTTCAGCGAGGGATTAGTCACTGAATAGACAACGGTTAAAAACCGTTGTCTATGTACATTTTTCTTGTAGTGAAATCTTATCTCACCGCATTTTCGCACCGGAAGTGTTGTGCGCGCACACACACATAGGAAGGGTTCAAGTGCGGGTATAGCTCCCCGTGCAGTTGTGCGGTTGACGCACCTTAAGCATTAAAATGGCACGCCTTAAGTATACAAACCACGCACCTTAAGCACACAAACAAAGTACCTTAAAAACACAAATCACACGCACCTAAAGCTTTAGGCCGACGTACCTTAAGGACACAAATGTGCACCTTAAGTACACAAACCAAACACCTAAGGTTTTAAAATGGGGCACCTTAAGTTTCAACAACTCACGCACCTTAAGCATGCAAATCACTCACTTTAAGAAGGAAAACCACGCACCTTAAGTTTCAACAACTACTCACATTAAGCACACAACACACGCACCTTAAGCACAAAACTCACGCACCTTAAGTTTTAACAACTACTCACATTAAGCACACAACCCACGCATCTTAAGCACAAAAGCCACGCACTTTAAGAAAGAAAACCACGCACCTTAAATTTGACCTAGATGCAAACATTACCAAATTGCCATTGCGTTTTATTATTATTATTATTATTATTATTATTATTATTATTTTATTTTGTTAATCTTGGACATTGATTTAAACAAGATCAGCGACTCAAGTTTAACCGCACAACCGCACGAGACACACCCAACCACATGGGAACTGAATTATATATATATATATATATATATATATATATATATATATATATATATATATATATATATATATCTTAATTTAACATTACACAATTGATTTTTATTTGTATTTAATTATTAAATTTACCTCATAATATTTGTATATTGTATTTCATAACTTGATAAATGTAACAATAATCTAACGGTCCTTACATCAGTACAGTGAGACTATTGGTGTTAATTAATATCGAATTATCAATGCTATAATCCCAACATGTAATTATTATAAGTTGAAGCTTGGTCGAAAATGTATGCAAATGGATATGGATTGCAAATAAAGAAGGCGGCTCTTGATAGCTCAGAGCTATAAGAGCTATGAATTGAATATAATGTTCTATTGAGTAAAAGGTGTGAATCCTTTTTCTAGACATACAAAGTGATACTTATAATTATCACTAGGTTAGAGGCAATTATTTGTTACAAATAGAATGGTTATACATGCAGCTATCTACAGCGTGTCCTGCCAGAATATTACATCAGTGTGAAATATATATATGGCATATATTATAATAACTTGTGACTCATTTTGAATGTTGAAAGAGATGTGGTTGACTATAATTGGCCGAGCCTCTAAGTCGGTTAGTCGATTTTTCCCTTTATCTATTGCAAACACTTATCTCTATGGAGATTATGACTGAATTAATTAAATTATCAATTGAATTTCGAGTTTCGAGAACGAATGATATTTATCCCAACATAGACTTAAAACTCCCAACCACCCAATGTGTATTATCGTATTTATTAGGATTATGTCAACCCCAACCCTCACAATTGAAAAAAAAAAAAAAAAAAAACTCTACCCCGTTCCCTAGGACTTAGACACTTAGTATAGCAGTTCATCATTTGATTTGATGTTACAATTGAAGACGACAATATGAGGTTTGAATCTCTTTAAAATATGAATAGAAAAAGACCCAGAATGATGAAGATCAAATCATGAAAGGTATGAGTTGGATCCGTTGTGTGCACATGAGAATTAGTGTTTGAATGATAAGCTGATTGTGCAACTCACGATTTACCTTTACTGTGACTCTAGAGGCCGGATCTTGTTACTTGTGGGCTTATAAGTTATAATTAATCCTGCCAAACTTGGATTACCTAAAAAATAAAAACTCTACCCCCAACAAAACGGCAAAGAAAAACTGAAATAACTGTATGAACAACGGAACGAAGGTGACAGACCATTCTCACAGAGTCTGTATTTTCCATATTATAATCAATTTAGACTTGACGGAGTTGACGCTCAACCTCCCAAAATAGTGTGAATATTTGACTTAGTACCCCAAGCTAATCTATAAATAATATGGCTGTAAAATGATAAAGGAATAAACCATCAACTCTACTTTCATCACCTTTTCTTTTTGTGTCCGAATTGAATCAACCTCGTAAAACCATGGCTCCGACAGCTCTGTTAGAATCAGAATCCGTCGTGGATTTCTTCGTGAACGAGGGCCGAGGAGTGAAGGGTTTGTCGGACATGGGCATCAAGGCGCTGCCACGCCAGTACATCCAGCCACCCAAAGAACGCATAGATGCAAACGCCATAGTCGCCGACGACTCCATTCCGACCATAAACATCTCCAACTGGGACGACCCGGCGGTGTCCCGGGCCGTCTGCTAGGCGGCGGAGGAGTGGGGCTTCTTCCAGATCATCAACCACGGCGTGCCGGTGGAGCTGCTGGAGAGCCTCAAGACCGCCACTTACCGATTCTTCAAGCTGCCGGTGGAGGAGAAGAGGAAGTACTCCAAGACGAACTCGCCGTCGGAGAACGTCCGGTACGGCACCAGCTTCAACCCGGAATCCGAGAAGACTTTGGAGTGGAAAGATTATCTTAGCCTCTTCTACGTTTCCGACGATGAAGCTGCGGCTTTGTGGCCCCCAGCTTGCAGGTCGATCTTTCTCTATCCAAATCTATTCTATTTATTTTAATATACTCCATAAATCCATGCATCAAGATTTTCTTAGTCATAATCCAACCAAGTTAATTGAGTAATTTCAAGTTCAATTTTGAGTGAAAACAGTATTGACTCTGTTATAATGTAGTATTTGCACTGAAATTTAAATTCAGAATTTTTAATTTGGGAGAGTCAC